CAAATGTTACTCGCCATTCTCCTTTCCCTCAATGAAAATATCAAGTACCAAGTGTGAGTCAATCACAGCTGAAAGACTGAAAATCATACCACAGAAATTCAGGAAGAAGAAAGAAATGAACACAATTTTCCTCTTTTAGTGAAGGCTTATTAACAAAATAATTTATTTGCTTTTGTTTGTTTTTTATTTATAATACATCTACTTACATATTTAACAAATTTCTGGGCTACCCAACTCTAATAAATCTCTGGGCAACTTAACATATAAAACAGCAAAAAAAGAGAAATAAATAAAATTCCAAACACAGTGTGATCCTTGTTTATGTATTTGTAACTACTGGTTACAAATGTTTATGTATTTGTAACTACTGGTTATGTTTATGTATTTGTAACTACTGGTTGTTTTAAAAAGTAGGAGGAATACAGAACACTATTTCCAAAAAGAAGCATTTCAATTCTGATGGCCAGATACAGTCAACAATAATGTTCAAAATATAGTGAGCATGTTCATACCGTGCACTAAATCCACTCAAATTAAGGAAAGTTGGATTAGCGAGATATTAAAAAAAACAGGCTACACCAGATACAATTATACTTAGAATATCTGCAGTGAAAATTAATGGATTTTGAATTACACATAATTCAATACAATGAGCCACATTTTAGTCAACTCTTATTCACTACTGCAAATCTTCCAGCATTTCCAGAATATATTGAAACAGGTTGTTATGATAAATAGCGACTAGCTTATGTGTGTGTTTGTAAGACTCTGTATCTAAAAACAGATTCTATGATAACACTAGAAAACCAAATAAATAAATGTTGAATTCCAAGGGGATACTGGCCTTGAAAAGTGAATTAAATAATCTGCAGACTTTAATGGAAAAATACTAGTTCCATTAGTGCTGAAGTAAAAGGAGAAATAGAGAAGTATTATATAAAAGATTGTGCTAATAAATGATTCAGATAAAAATAATACATGACAGAAAGCAGCAGGTAAGGTTAATTTAAATCAACCTTCTTTTAAATCCATATTTTAAGAGATAGAAGAAAAATACAATTAGTAAGTTTTTAATGTTACTTCTATCCAATTTTTACATAGGCAATTGTAAAATTTGATATATACCATTTCCCCGAAAGTAAGCCTTAACCCAAAAATAAGCCCTAGCTTGATTTTTAGGGGTGGGCCTAATATAAGCCCTACCCCAAAAATAAGCCCTAGTTTTGGGGCGAGACACACACCTAAAAATCAACCTAGGGGTTGGGGGGTGCCCCACATGCCTCACACCCACTTACCTTGCAGCCAGGCCTCTCCTCCCGGCCCACTTCTTCTGCAGCCAGGCCTGCATTTCTCAGTCATAGGCCTTTCCGGAAGGCCTCTGCAGCTGAAAACCGAGCTATGGATTCAATCCATAGCTCGGTACTCGGCTGTAGTGGCCTTCCAGAAAGGCCTGACTGTGAAATGCAAGCTGGAACGCAGCTGCAGAATGAAGCTGCTCCTTCAGCCGCAGAAGAAGTGGGCCAGCTGGGCAGGGCTGTCGGTGCCGGAGGTGAGTATAAAAGATATCCCCTGAAAATAAGACCTAATGCCTCTTTTGGAGGCAAAAAATAATAATAAGATCGGTCTTACTTTCAGGGAAACACGGTAGCGTTGTTTGATTATGTATGATCAAATCCTCCTTTCCCAGACTTCTCAAGAGAGCAGGGATAAATACATCCAAAATATGTTATTTTGAGCTTGTATAAGTGTGCTTCAACTAAGAACTTAGTATTGATTTGTTAAATTATTCATTTGTTTATTTCCTTGATTAGCCAAGGTATCCTCAGGAATCTTGTGCAGCATCAAAGTTCAAAAGCATCAATACTCTTTCTGTCTTGCTACTTCAAAGTTTTGTGCTTTCATAAACTGTCACAGGGAAAGCTATTGCCCACCTAGTTTTGATCTTTATAGATATAGAGACAATTTAAATATATGCAGCATACATACATCTTTATTACAACACCGGGATTTATTTTCAATCTTGATACATGAGCACTACTTCCTTTGGTAGCATTTGGAGCAACACCATGAAGAGTAGCAAGGCATTAAACTTTCACATAAAACCAATTCTGACATTAAAATATTTATATTTAACTAAAAATAATTTTGAGTTCTAAAATAAATTTTAGCATTAAAATAAACACAGCTACTATAGAAAGGCCTAATCTAGCATGTGTATGTAAGATCAGCTGTGGCAACATAGAAATCCTGGCTTGTAATAATTAGTTTTGATTACTCAGAACTGACCAGTTGTGGAGAAGAAGCTAAGCTATTGTGAGATGTATTTGGTTGTGGTTTGTATGTTCTGCAAATGCAATCACTGTTATATTTAATCATGATTTATGATTTAACAAATTGAATGAAACTATTCAATTGTGCTTTATTCAGTATGGTATGGTGAATAATTCATAGCTAAGTTTGATAGGTATCATCACAGGGAAATCTTTCTCTTCCAAAAGATAAACCAATAGCAAAATTGAATATATTTTAATTATAGAATAATATATTATGCCAGTTCATTAATTCTTATAAAAAAATTATATCATTAAATATAAAATTGCAAACTCAAATAGACTTATTTTATATGGGAAATGCTGAAGTATCTTCTGAGTAAATAAGAATAGAATACAGTCCACAGTAATTATATACAGCGTTAGAGTTATATATTCATTCATCCCATCTGAAATAACAATATACTTTGGAACATTAGCAGTTTGTTCCTCTTCTGAGTAGCTAAAGATTAATAAATATTGATCTTTTACATAACTTTATCAAATTCATGAAACAGAAGATTTGCACTGCATAGTCTTAGAGAAACTTCTCAACACTTTCACAGGTAAGTTGATTCCTTGATTATATTTAAGAATATAGCTACATGGTCTTATTTTTTTTAATTGCTGCTAAAAGTAGAAGAAGCTGAAGCAGGTAAAAAAGAAGTCCAGTCAAAAGTGATATGGTATGATGCCTTGCTGCTATGCTGCAAGAGCAATGTGATTGCCAAACTACCAAATTTGGTCAAAATACATGGAAGTATTCTATAGCTTACATCTGAACGTACAGTATCTCCAGATGTAAAAAACACTATCAAGTTGCAAAAGTGCTGGGTGTCTCTACAAACATAGAAACCAGCTTAATTAACCCTTAAATATGAGCAACAGACAAAATATGTTTCCACAGGCTTTGATGCTTTGATGTTTTTCCAGTTCCACTGACACATTATCGACTAAACTTCTATATATAAGTCAGGTAGTCCAATACTAATCACAGTCTTTCTTACTAGTACTAAAATCTCAGTAGCCAGATAAAGTTGTCATAACAATTTTGTATTAAACTTTATTTGATGAATTTGTAATTCATTTATAATTTTGATTAAAATATTCCATCAGAGATCTTCATTTATCTCTGAGGATTGCAGTCCCTCTTCCATTTGCCCTATGGAGGCATGTTGCTTTGTCTCAATGCAGGGAAGTATTGACATGGAGGGGAAATATTCCACTTTTATAAACATCAAAGTAAGGTCGATTTGCATGAATCAGTTACTTTGCTTTGACAGAACTGGCTTCTGCACTAAGCACCACAGCTATTGCAGCAACTGGGAGAAGGATGCTCCAGTGCTTCAGAGAAACACTTCAAAGGGTCCTTCACTCAAGTTCTACATTTTATCATTTTATCTCAACTTTCCATGCAATCCCAATAGAAAAATAAAATACCTTTAAATTAGAAAAACAAGGTTATATACCAGTGATGGCGAACCTTTTAGAGACCGAGTGCCCCAAAACTGCCCCCCCACCCCTGTCCCCGCTCCGCCGTGCCCACTGGGCCACCCACCACTCCACGGCCCACCACAGATCACCCAGGTAGCCCAGCAGCGCCATGACGGCCGCGCCTTCCACCTGTGCCCCGCAGCAACATCTGCGTGTGACGGGGCGCAAGGGTGGAGTCTTGTCCCTGCTGCCCAGCTACCATGTCCTTGGCTGCGCTGCTTCATGTGGGCCATGCCCAGGGGCGACTCTCCTCCGGGGGGGCTGCTGGTGAGGAGGGGGCCGTGGGAAGAGGCGGGGCTGGGGCGACGGTGCGTGTGCCCACAGAGAGGGCTCCGAGTGCCGCTTTTGGCACCCGTGCCATAGGTTCGCCACCACTGTTATATACTCTCCTCTATACCCATGATGTTCTAGCTTTTCATAGGTAAGTACAATTAAATAAATAACATAAGCAACTATAATCTAAGTGATAAGTCTAGAAAAAGAAAGGCTTCTTATGGTGATGAAAAACAAGAGGAGAACTGGGAATGACAGGAAAATTGTTGAGGTAAAGAGACTGTCGTGTGAAGAAAGGGCAACTGCAGTGAAAAGGCAAGTGTAATGTAGAATTGAACAAATCATTTTCTGACAGAAAGATATAGATGTTGTTTACTTGAAGTGCTTTGCTTCAGATACTGCAAGCAGCCTGTTTCAGTCACCTGAATTCCAGATTGGCTTTATGAAAACTTCACTCCTTTCCAAATTAATCAACTTCTTTTTAAAACAAGAGTGTAATTGCTTAAAAGGGTGGCTCATAGCTGTATAACTGTCATGCCTAAATTAGCTTTAAACTATATTTGTTATTATTTATTATTTCAGAAGAACAGTTGGATACATCATCTGCTTGTCTCTATACAGAATTTCATAAACTACGTAGCTTATGAAAGGGTTTGGACATGTTTATTTGTAACTGAAGAGAATTTTTGCTTTAGATCTGGCAGAAAACACAAATCAGATTGCAAATAATTAGAATTGTGAACACAAATTAAAATGATTAGCTTAACAGCATCAACAGACTCTAACCAAGTGTTCTTCTATAAAGATGCATGCATTATTTGTGTAATTTTTTAAAAAATTAAGATATTTTTAAGTTAAAGGCAATAAAATTCTATACAATTATATCAGAAAAAATATAAAATCAGAACCCACATGAGGATTTACCTTCCACTGCTCTCTTAAAGAAGACTTTGCAACTGCCACAGGTTACTACTCCATAATGGCATCCAGATGCTTCATCTCCACACACTAAACACACTTTAGAAGGTCTTGAAGATCCAGTTGAAACATTTCTCAATGATGAACTAGAGATAAATATAATAGGACTCATGAATATAAAATGCACTTGATACAAATTCCATTTTGTTATTAAATTTCCAATCCCATAATTTTGAGGCTTCCTCAACATTTTTTAAAAAATTAAAGAGCTTCATTTCTTTTAGCAATATGCATGTTACTTAGTTGTTCTTAATAGTACTTGATATATATAATTTTGTGGTTTAAAATACCATTAACACTCTATGAAAACTTTTATCTACCAACCCTTCCTTAAAATCTACATTTATTTGTTCACATTGCCAAGACATTTATTCTTTTATAGTAGGCTATTCATTAAGAAAAAAGATGACACAAAAAATCAGGGAAATATTTTTATGAAGATCAAGTATATTTAATATTCCAATAGATGCCAAGATTATAGGAGGTTGGTTTTGGCATTTATCAGAATAAAGCTTTGATTGACTGAATGGATATTATTTCAGAGTAGAACATTATAAGGATTGCTGAACAACTGTTTTTTAAAAATCTGGTGAAGACTATCCATTAGGCCCAATTTAAAACTCTATAAATAGATCCATACCATTTATCTTCATATAGTTTTCAGAAATATATTCTTATTTTTTCAGTTTTTCTCCATTTTCATAAGAAACTAAATGGCTGCTAGTAATAGGAACATCATTATCCCTTAGCAATACACTGGCATCCTTAATATATGGGATTAAAAAAAAATCAGCTCAAAAATCAAATTCTTATTTTAATATTGTGATATAATCCAAGGATTCAGCATATTAAAAAAAACTTTGTCCTAAGGGCAGAATGAGAATTTATTTAAGAAGGTATGGATGAGTAAAAGTGCCATGTTTATTTTTTATTTTCTGAGAGCTTAAAGATAGCACAAATAAGAATTTATTTACTTTATGAACTACTTTGGAAGAAAGATAATGACATGCTAAAACCACTACTGATTGGGTTCACACATAGTAAGCAATAGATATGATTCATATATCACAATGCCTAGGTTCAAACAACTTGTAAATTCCATCTCTATTCTGTCCTCTCAGGTGGCTGAAGTCTTCTGCCCCCTTGTGAGCCTCTTAATCCTCTCAATCATAATCCCAGACCAACAATTCTACACTATACTGCCTATTTTAGAATACAAGAGAAAAAGTCAAATAATATTAGAAAAGACCTTAAAGACCTAGTAAATAGGTCTTTCTTTCATTTTTTTGTTTATTTATTATTTAAAATGTTAAATATAACAGTAAAAGGAATACAAATTAAACTCAGAAAAAGAAAAAAGAGAGATATAATAAAAAGTGCAAAAGAAAGGAAAAATAAAAATATAAAAAAGGAAAGAAGTCTCTATTACATCAAATAAAAGCAAATTGAGTAACAAGTAAAAGCAAATTGGATAACAAGTAAAAGCAAATTGGATAACGCATCATCAGTTATAAAGTTACAACAAATATCTCTTCTTCCCCATGCATCATTAACTTTTTAGTCACGGTGTCCAAAAAAGTCCATAAACGGTTACCAGAGCTTTATTTTAAAAAAGTCTTCTTTTAACCTTGATCAAACAAACCAGCTTCATGTTCTTCTTTTACTTCTAACTTTTACTTAATTCACTGTCTTTCTTTTTCCAACCATAAAGCCTTCAAGGTTTAGCAGGTCTTTTTTGTAAGTGGAAAGTCATTATCTAGAATATAGTCCATGCCTTTTGTATTACACCTTTGATTTCCAAGCCTTAGCCATCTTTTTCTTTTGTGATAGAAAGTACCTAAACGGTACTTGGCTTTTCTCTATTTTTGGAATCCACTTTTTTCTTTATTATTTGTATTCCAGTTTTAATAGCATGTCTGTTTTGTAATCCACATTTTTTTAAATCCAATATCCAATATTTCTGATTCTATTTCTGTAACAAGTACTATTTGTTTCACATCTGTCACTCCTTTATTAACATCTTTTAAACACAGACTATCTATGTGTCTGAGCCCTTAATTCATTTGTAACTTTCTTAATTCAAAACCTTATTTAGCTTTTTGCCATTTATTTCAAATTCTTTAACTTCTTAAAATTGTACTTAATTTTTCTTTTGTTTATGAATAAAATTATATTCTCCAGGAACTTTTCAGGATTGTCATTTAAAAGACTTTTAATAGTTTTAAGATATTTAAATAAGCAATTTTCTAATATGATTTGAAGCAAAGTTAGTAAATTTAGTGTCCCAGTAGTGGTTATGAACTTGATGATTAATACTTTTGTCTCCTGCTGTAAACTGCTATCCTGCAGTATCCTCACAAGAAGCAGCCATCAGGAGCACATGTTGGCAATCTCCTGTCCTCTCCTTACTTTAATAAATAACAGAATTGGTCTACTCCAGTTCTTTGGTTTTATTGTGGTGATTATCTCCACAAAGATATGTTTAACTCACTATGCCTCCAATGGAAATTCTTCCTGTCTTTCATTCTCATAGAATCTGCTTTTACCCTCCTGTCTAAGACCTAACCTTTCCAATAATACCATTGTTACTCCTTTAACAACAATAATAAAAAGTGTCCAAGCACATTTGGATCAGGATGGTTAACTTGTTTTCCTTAATTGGGAATTTCAAAAGCTCAATAAATATCTTTCTCTGATTTGAATCCTGGCCCTAATAACATTTATCCTCTTTCCACAAAAAAACAATCCTAGGATTCAGTTATGTTGAAGTAAAAAAAAACATAAATAATTGAAGAGCAGAGAAAGAACTGAAGTGTTTCAAGCATAGCTTTTGAGGTGACTATGATTTGGGAGTCTTTAAATGTATTTCCCTTTTCCTAAAACTATAGAACTTTTATCTCACAGACATGAATCATTTACATAAGAAAGGAGAAATACATATTTCCCTTTCTCCTTTGAGCAAAAGTAGCAAAAGTAGACAACAGAAGAGCATGATTGGAGGTAGGGGAAGACCAAATTGTGTAAAGATGAAGAGATGAAAAGAAATAGACAGATGCAGGAAAAGCAAAAAACAAAAAACAAAACCCTAAAACAATTTTTAAGCCTTACAAAATAGGTTTAAATTCAACTAATCATTTCAACGGCTATCTCTTCCCATTTCCCTTTTTAAAGAATATTATATTTTTCTAAGCCAAGATTAGATATTCCAATTAGTGGATGAGAGGAACAAAATTAGTGGATGAGAGGAATGCTGTGGACATAATTTACTTGGACTTCAGTAAGGCATTTGATAAAGTACATCACAACCTATTACTTGACAAGATAGAAAAATGTGGGGTAGACAGCATCACCACCAGATGGATCCGTAGCTGGCTGACCGGCTGTACCCAGCGAGTGGTCCTCAATGGAACCGCATCTAAATGGAGGGAAGTGTGTAGTAGGGTGCCCCAAGGCTCTGTTCTGGGCCCAGTGCTCTTCAACATCTTCATCAACGATTTGGATGAGAGGATAGATGGGGAACTCATCAAATTTGCAGACGACACCAAGCTGGCAGGAATAGCCAACACTCCAGAAGACAGGCTTAAGATACAGAAGGATCTGGACAGACTTGAACACTGGGCACTATCTAACAAAATGAAATTCAATGATGAAAAAAGCAAGGTTCTACATTTAGGCAAGAAAAAACAAATGCACAAGTACAGCATAGGTGGCACCTTGCTCAATAGTAGTAACTGTGAGAGGGACCTCGGAGTCCTAGTAGACAATCACCTAAATATGAGCCAGCAGTGTGCTGCAGCTGCCAAAAAGGCCAACACAGTGCTAGGCTGCATTAACAGAGGGATAGAATCAAGATCACGTGAAGTGTTAATACCACTTTACAATG